TTAAATTCGACAAATATTTAATATTCTTTTTAATTAATTTTAAATTTGTATTGTTTTGTATGTATTTTAAATAGATTGTCAGCCGCCCTGAGTCCTACGGGAGAAGGGCGGGATATAAATTCAAATATAAAAATAAAATAAATAAAATAAAGCACAAGAAATAGCAGATTTTTACATTTGGAGGTCTTTTGGGATGTACTTTTTCTGTAAATACTGCAGTGACATTCATAATAAAATCATTGTCTCAGCAATGATACTCTTGCAATGATGTTAATATTTTTCTGAGGAGCACAGTGTGTTGAAATAGATTGCCTTTCTGTATAGTCTTGCCAGGAATGTAGAGATATGTATGCAGCAGTCGCCTATGGAAAATTATCAAATGTCAAGGTTCTATTAAAAAAAACACCAAGATTTTCTTTTCCACATGAACGTTCCTTGAGGAGTAATTGGGTCCTATATTCTGATTTTCTTCTAAATTGTCAACACTCAGCCATACCTCCTCTTCTGACCAGTCTCATTTCTCATCTCCATTGCCCTTTTCTTGCATCCTATTTGTGGGATTGTCTCAGTCTGATGTTCCTGACCAAGTTTTGACACTTAAACCTTACTGTGAGAGGAGCAGTATGGTATAGTGGGTTAAGGCATCAGGCTAGAACTAGGACTTGAGAACTAGTCCTGCCTTAGGCATGAAAACTGTCTCGGTGACTTTGGATCAATCTCTCTCTCTCTCTCTCTCTCTCTCTCTCTCTCTCTCTCTACATAGGCTATCGCAAACCACTTCCAAAAACTTTTCAATAAAACTGCAGGGATTTGTCCATGCAGTCAACAGGAGTCAAGATTTCCTTGAAGACACCCTTACCTGGTTAGCTTGGATGGAGGTGTAGATTTGTGATGTGTATTTTAGGGTCAAGAAACCTCAAATTTTGAATGCCTGAGAATTCTATCAGTATTTTTGCAGATAAACATGGCACATCTCTAGATATTTTTAAACTTCATTTTCCCCATCATATTGGAAACATTTAAGAAACAAGGATTTCCTTGTAGAGGAATGTGTTCTATAGCATAATCATTTATTTAGGCTGGTTTAGCATCAGATTTTACAGCAACTAGCTATAGGCAGTCCTTGCCATGCAACCATAATGGAGCCTGCCCATTATGGTCATATGTCAAGATGGTTGTAAATTGGTTGGCCACCTGACCAACTCCTTCATACAACCTTTTTACAATGGTTGTTAAGTGAATGCCATAGTCATTAAGGGAACCCATGGTTCACAATGGGGCCAGTTTTGCTGAAAATTGGAAATAACTGCCAACTTTCAGCAAAACTGTCATAAAACACAGTCATGTAACTATGGAACAATGTAAACAGCCATAATTGTGGCTGTGTTGCCAAGTGCCTGAAGTTGAGTTATGTGATTGCAGGGAGTGACCATTAGAAGTCTGGAACTGAGTCATAACTGACCTCCATGTAGTTATGTTGTCACTATGAATGATTGCTAAGTGCCAGCCATAAATTGAGGATTACCTGTATTCAGAATGCAATCTTTCTATAATTGAAGAATTAAAGAGGAAACAAATAGGTCTTGAGTGATTCATAGATTTGCTAAAGAAGACACATGACCTCATCTATGTTCTCAAATGACATTTCAAGCAATTGAAAGAGCAACAGAAATGACTTGATTATAAGGTCCACCTCATCTAATATTCTCAAGAAAGCAGCACTCTTGAAAGTGGCATAGTTTCAATAGGAACTTATATTGGAAGATAGTGACAGCAGAGAAGCAAGGCAAGATCTGAATATTTCCCATGCAAAAATGTTGCATTAAGCATTCCTGTATAACCCCTCCCCAGTGCCCAACTGTCCAGTTTGACCAGCCAATCCAAAGGTCTGAAGTTGTTATGGGAACCAGTTCTTGCACACCTCAGTTTCCTCCCAGCAAAGTGGAGATAAGGCAGATGGCCCTAGGCACATTCCTCCCTCCCCTTTCACACCCAGCAAGATACATCAAAGTGGAAAAGAACAAAGTGAAGGAAATACATCCTAGAGCCCTCTTTCCCCAGCGCTAAACCTCCCCCCTCCCAACAGAATGGCAGAACCCCAAATGGCATGAAGTAAAAAAAGAATTAAGTCGAAATGAATAAATGAATGGAGGGTGTGACATTGATCTTGGTAGCGAAAGACAGACTTTTACTTCATATTTTTGGCAAAGGAAAGGAACATCCACAGTAAAAAAAATATCAAGATATTGGGTTTCTCAATCTTCCATCATGCAATGATAGTCAAGTTATTTTCTGCCCTTGAGATGATCAACCATTGCTTGACCAACCATTTTTCTTCAAGCACATCATGATGCTCCACTGGTTCCTTTAAATGCAATGTGAGATTACCTTTTCATTTAATTAAGTTTTCATAAATAAACTACAAGATGAAGGAAGAGAATTTGAGAATTTGTTCTCCGGTATGATTGGATGCTGGCCTTATTGCAAAGGTGGAGTAGCAATCGCCCTTGTGTCATATGACTTTCTTGGGTCAACAAATTCTGACCCGGAATGGGAGAGCTCACCACAGTCAACTCGCTATGGCCAACTTGCCATGGGACAGCTTACTGCAGGACAATTCAAATATTAAATTTAATCATTTAAAATAATTTACAATTATTTTAATTTTTGTCATTTATATTTCATTTTGTTCCTCCTTTTTTTAATGATTCCATTCCACTATTTCTTCATTATTAGTGTAATTCTTATTAGTGTAATGAGTTGTCCCATGGCATATTGTCTCACGGTGAGTTGGCCACAGCAAGTTGGCTGCAGCAAATTGTTCTAGACCCTGATCCTGACCAGCTCATTAGATCTAGGTGTAATGGCTTGGAGATACTTCTCTTCTCTTAAAACAGGGGTGTCAAAACTGCCAGCCTTCAGGCTGGTTTCATCATACCGAAGCCGTGCCCACCCCATTGCCGGCAATGCAAAAAGAATCATGATATGTCGCGACATGTCGTGTGAGGTGGCAAGTTTGACACCCGTGCCTTAAAGCAAACTGTGTTGCCTGATCATCCATTGCCTTTAATTCTAACATTGTCTTCATCTGGTGTCAGGCCCCCAAAACCAAGAATGACATGAAAAGTTACAGTATTTCTGAGTAGTTGATTTATTGCTATTTGCCTACAGACTGAATCTTGCTACACTAAAGCATCTGTATAACTATAGATATATTTCTAACTATAGACATACTGATTTCTTTCTGCCTACCAGAAATTCCAAGTTTCACTTGCTCTTTGACCTCTGGAAAGGAGTCATTCCCTTCTGCAATTCCAGGTTACATTCCACCACATCTGGAGTAGGAAGTGGCAATGAGGCAAGGGAATAGAGGTTTGTATTCAAAGCAGAAGAGTTTGTGTCATTCTCTGAATTTGGTTGTTGGTTTGCAAACATTTCATTACCCAACTAGATAACACCATCAGTCTGAGTGAGTATGAGGTTTGCTTCCTGTTTATACAGAAGATCAGGAGAAACAGGCAAAAAAGCACAAGGATTTTAAGTAGGAGGAATATTATAATTTATCAACAGTAATATTGTATAGCATAAGGATTTTAGGAGAAGAGATATATAATGCTGGGGATAACAGAGAAGAATAACTTTGTAGTCATGTGCAGGATAAAATAATTCTTCTGAATTACTTCCCGTTGGAAACAATAGGCTCTTTACTCAATGGCTAATAATTCTGTTGGATAATTATTCATCTGAATTTTCAACCTAATCTATAGTTGAAAATAATTGTGCCCCAGTTGAATTTCTGGGGATCATAATTGCCTTTCCCTAAAATTAGCAATATTCTAAAATAATTCCCAATGGAATTTGATGGAACAGCATTTAACAGCATTCCTTTCCCTAACTCTTGATAATAAAGACATTGTGATTAATAAACACACAACATTTAAAAGATGTCATGGGAGAAATATAGAAATGCTGCTAAAAGGATGCACCAGGATATATAATTACTTATTTCTTCATTTCAAACCGAGAGTCCATAAATTGAAAGAATCATAATACCTTCATAACACATCTGTAGATGAGAAAGGGAGAGAACACCTAATCCTCATTGAGAAGGATTCAGCAAGACTTGGAACATCATTCAAAACTAGAACACAAACGCTTACAACATGCCAATAATTCACAACAGCTGACCATCTTTTTGGAATTGCAACATCTTATTTAGGTATTCATGCAACTCATTCTCTCAGCTATCATTTTGGAAAATAACCTTAACCTTCTCAATTTGATTGAAGATTTCTCTGGTACAACTGGGGGGGGAAAAGCAGTTTCTGAAAGGAAAGGTCATCTGTTTTTCACAAATTGTCTCAGAGAAACAGAATGACATGTTATAAAGCTAAAACTCAGAAACCACCGAGTTAGTGCACTTAGTATTATTATTATTATGACCAATGATTTATTTTGATTGTAGTGATGGAATATTGCTTATTCGTATCTTCAGCAGAACATATCTAGCTGAAAGGTAAGGCAAATAGTATAGATGACAGGATATCTGTGGTTTTCCACAGTCATTTGGGAGGGGGAGATACTTTTCAAATTTGTACATATTCAGGAGTATTAGAGGGAATTTGCTAAATAAATTTCACTTCAAGATACTTTCCTAGCAACTTCCCTTTCTTCATGAAAGGGCCTGCTCAGAATTTTGTTAGATAGATGATAGATATGAAATAAAAAGTAAAAATAGTAAGTCTTTCTCCACCACACTGAATATTTATTTATTTAACGTTTTTTTAAATGTATTTTATGTACTGTAGCTGCCCCTTAACATGTGACAGAAATAAAATGATGTTATATTGTTTTGTAGATCTGAAAAAAGTAAGTGGATTCAAGTGATACAAAATGCACAGAAGCTGTCAGGGACCCAGTAGGAAATATCTCCAGACAACTTGTCTCTTAGAGTAGATCATTGATCAAAGACTTCAAGTATATATAAGAATAACTGACACATGGAATGTCCAAATCAATCAGCCCCACATGACTTTATCCTTTCTGGGTTTCCATATCCACAAGGGTTCAAGCTACCATTGCTGCTCTTCTTTTCAATCATGTTTGCCCTCACCCTTTCTGGAAATTTTCTGATCATCTTGGTGGTGATCTCTGACCTTCAATTGCACAAGCCCATGTACTGGTTCCTTTGTCATCTCTCTATCCTGGACATGGCCTTTTCAGCTGTGGTGGTTCCCAAAGTTATTGTAGGCTTCAGTTCCACAGGAAAAATCATTTCCTTTGCAGGTTGCGTCACACAGGTATTGTTTTTGAACTCTGTTGGATGTGCAGAATCTTTTCTTTACACCTTGATGGCTTACGACCGCTTTTTGGCCATTTGTAAGCCACTCCATTATACCAACATCATGAGCTGGAAAGTTTGTCTCTTCCTTTCCTTGGGTACCATAATTGGAGGCAGCCTCAACTCTGCATTTCTGACATCACTCACCTTTCATTTGCCTTATGGAGAGGACAACTATATTGACTATATCTTCTGTGATGCTCCATCCATCCTGAAGCTGGCTTGTGCTGATACAAAACTTAATGAGTTGATGATCATCATTGACATGGGTTTTATTGCAATGGCCTGCTTTTTCCTCATCCTAGCCTCTTATGCTTACATCATCACAGCCATTTTGAACATTAGTAGCAGTGAAGGTCGACACAGAGCATTCTCCACTTGCACTGCTCATCTTACAGTGGTGTTCCTATACTACCTGCCTCTGTTTTATCGCTATATGAGGCCAGCATCTCAGGACTCCATGGATAGTGTTGTAAGTATGTGCTACACCACCATCACCCCTTTGTTGAACCCAGTGATATACACACTTAGAAACAAGGAGATTAAAATTGCTCTGCTGAAACTCTGGAGTGGGAATCCTGAATAGACAATAGGAAGTATACCCATGTTTATGTTTTTAAAAAGAAACATGGTGAATAATCAAGTTTACATCATCCTTTTAGGATGGAAATCTGAATTTTATGGATCTACTGAAATTTTCTACCAACCACTCTTAAAGTATGGATATGGATATGAGCCACATGAGCTCATTAGAAAATTGGAGATAAGTCTGTGCTGTGTCCTTCTTAATCTTGGAGTGAGGATGATCTGCTTAGAGGTATAAACAATCAGCATCTCAAGTTGGACCAATGGTCCTTCCACCTGCAGGAGGTTTCAAGAGAAAGCTTGAACAGATGCTCAGGAAAGGATCTGAGATGTAAACAATGCTGAAGGAAGCCTAAAGCAACCATTCCCATCAGGTGCTGCTTTGTGCTTCTCCTAGAGAAGTCCTCATCCAGCCAAACCTTGAAAACAGTTATTCACAAAGTCCTTTTTCAGCCAGCTTCTGTTAGCTCTGCTGTCTTTGACACAGAAGAGAAAGAATTCCATCACATCATCCTCTCCACTGTTTCTCATTAGAGTTTTCCTGTACTACTGGCTGAAATTCCACTGCCTCCTACAAGACCTGTATGAATGGATCTCAACATATAGGGGGAAAAATCAAAGGGTAAAAGAATTATTAGGCAACTAATTTTTATTCAAAAGCTACTGTATGGGCGAGTTTATACATAACTGTACCTGTTTGAAATAACTCCTCTGAATATCTTTGTGTGTACTTCTTCCATGCTGTAGGAGTCTCTCCGATATTATAATCTGAATAAACATTGTTCTTTTGCTTTGTTATGCAGGGAACTTGAGCAATAGAGCACATTGTACGTTCAATTTACAGATACCACGCATAGCTCTTTCTCTCTAAACACAGCAGAGATAGTAAGAAGATAATTATGCAATCTTTTACCCTGACTTGTAATGATGCTGACATTTTTCTGGGGAGCAAAAATAATGTGGAAATACTGCTGCTTTCTCTTCTGTTCCCTGTCAATAATCATACAGTGCAGCTGTCTCCTGTAGTGAGTTACTGAATTTCAGGTGGGTACTTCACAGAACTGCACACAAGAAAACTCAAGATGGTAGCTTCGTTGGGATTCTACATGGGGCTGAAACCACCATGTTGACTTTTTGGACCAATTCTTTGAATGCCCTGGCAATGTATATGTAGGACCTAAAACCATAAGATGAAGTAAGCGTATTGGGGAATTGAAAGAGTTTATATAATATAATATAATAATAAAGTTGGAAGGGACCTTGGAGGTCATCGAGTCCAACCCCTTGCTCAGGCAGGAAACCCTACACTATTTTATTTATTTTGCTGTATTTTGGTTGCTGGTGTTGTTGCAATGGAAGAGGCTTATCACAAGTCTTGTTTGATGCATCCTTCCTTAGTCTAGGGATCCTGACCTTATGACAGGTTTTGTATATGGGGGCCCAGAGGTACCTTTCTTCCCTTACATAAATCTATTTCCCTATTATACTTATATTTAAATCCAAATTCTCTTCATTTGGATTGGGAGAAAAATGGTACCAAGGATTGAAGAACCTTATTGGTTATTTAAAAAGAAGAGAGGGAGGGGAGAGGGAGAGGGAGGAGGAGGAGGAGGATTTGCATAGATTGTCATCACTCATAACTTCTTCCATTAATTATACACATAAATTCTGCCATTATTCAATGTATCTTGACACTGAAATCAGAGGAAAAATATGGAAAAGAATACATGTCTGGTGTTATAAATTAAAAAAAATATTTAATTCAAGATTCCTAGCAAGAAAAGGCTTCTTCTGAATATCTTTTTACATGCTTCTCCCATGCTTTAGGAATCTCTTTGATATTGCCATTTCAATAAACTGTCATGGTTCTGATAGATGAGACCAATTAAAAGAACTTCAAGGCAAGGAATTCTTCCTCAAAGAACATTTTTATTTTGCTACAAAATAGCGGCACATACAAAGATGAACCCAAGACTAAATTCCCCTCCGCCTGGTTACAAAATTGCAAGTTGCAATTCCCACCCCACTTAGAAGTCATAAATCACATTCACCAATTGTTACTAAATGCAGGCACTCCTCCCAGATCTCCAGCCTGCTAAAATGTTATCATTAATGACCTTGGTTCCCATACTTGAGAATTGTTATGGCTAGCTTAAAACTACACTTCCCCCCTCCTTCTATTCTAAATATGTGGCAACCGAAAACGAAATGAAAATGGCTTCAGTTCAATTCATTGCAGAGTTGACACTAACATTGCATTTGTGTGACTTTATTCATTAAATTTGAAATATAGCACAGGATTAAGAAAACTTGACATTCAGTGTAGCTATGTGTTCACTAATAAAAACATCAATTATTTTGACAGGCAAACTTGTATATGATTCCATTCTTTCTTTAAACCTGAATTTTCTCTACTGCAGTTGGAATATTTGGGAAAGAAGCATTCTTGGTATCTTCTGATACTTGATAAATAGGTTTTTAGCCTGCCCCTTTTCCAGTCATCTCAAGGCTAAACGAAACAATAATATAGGATTCAACGATATTATCTTTTATACAGGAGAAATTTTTAGAAAATGAACAGCAAAATGTTATTATTGTCATTCATGAAAAATTATGTCCAATTTCTTATATTTAAAAAGAAAAATAAGATGATTCAATTACAGTGACAATGGGTGCCTCCTTGGCAGAACTGAAAAACCAGACCTTCCTGGAGAAATTTGTCTCTGTGATCACTAAGTTTCAATATTGACTTGATGGCACATGTTCAAGATTATTGTGTGGCAGTGGACAGCAACACCCACAAGAGAAGTCAAGATGGTGGCTCTCTTGGTGTTATGTCATGTGGTTGCAGCCACTATGGTGACATTTAAGTTCAAATCTTTGAAAACCCTGTGTCAGGCACAAGCGAACAGGAAGAGGCGCTGAGTTCTATTCATTTCAAATTTATTACGTCTTACCTATACACATGAATCTGATCTACTAATCGTCAAGACAAATTGCCACTAGATAAGAAACAGTGGAATTCACACAGGGTTGGACTAAGGTCTCTTGTGGGAGCATACCACCTCCAAACTGATGACACATTTGACCTTGCTTTCGGGCTCAGCCTGTTCATCTCCTACATCAGAGGAATGAACATGGAACAACCTGCCTCCAGAAGCGGTGAATGCTCCAACACTGGAGGTTTTTAAGAAGAGACTGGACAGCCATTTGTCCGAAATGGTATAGGGTTTCCTGCCTGAGCAGGGGGTTGGACTAGATGACCTCAAAGGTCCCTTCCAACTTTACTATTATTATGATGATGATGGCTCCTTAGAGATAACTTTTGTTATCCTTTTTTGCAACTATAAATTAATGCAACATCCATTTCCTTGGACCTTTTGTTTCCACTGCGAACATAACTACCAAAATGAACAGGTCCTTTTCCAAATCAAAATTAACATACAATCATAGACTAAAATGAGAAATAATGTTTAACCCAAAAGGAAGTACTCTGGTACAAGGCCAGATCACATACATTAGAGGTACAATTTTAGTAAAGCATACCCAAGAATTAACCAAATCCTGGTGTTTCTTCCTAAAAACACATATATGTATCCAGAATACATGAAACAGTAAGATCTGCTATACCATTATGACTTGTGATGTTTCCTGACTAGGGCAGCAAACCTCGCTGCCCAAGATGAGTAAAAATAAATCAGGAAAGAGACAAGATGGATCGTGAATCTCAAGACGAAGTCAAAATTATGATTGATCAAGGGGAAAGCTGAAATTCTAACTATGCATTTGGAGGAGGAAAAAGTTAACCCAAATGGTAAGGTAGGAAAATGACTGACAGTCAATTCTGGAGTAAAAAAAATTGTTCTGAATTAATTCCCATTGGAAACAATAGGACCATAACTCATAGCTAATCATCTCTTTGATTATTATGTGTGCAAACTTTCAAATTTACTAATTGTTTGAAAGTAATTGTTCCCCAGTGGACTTTCTGGCAATCATAATTGCCTCTCTCTTAAATCAGCAATATTTAAAATAACATGCACTATCTCTAGGGAATAAAGGCAGAGTGTTCACTGAAGATGCAATATTTTAAAAAGATATGAAAACAGAAGTATCTAAATGCTCCCACCTGGAGAAATGAAGATACATGAGTCTGCCTAATTCTTCACTTCACACTGAACGGTCATATCAAGCAAAAGTTCATCACAACGTCACAACAGATTCAAAGCTCTCTGGATGGAAAAGAATGAAAACACCTATTCCTAATTAAGAAGGCATCTAAAGACTTGGAATAACATATAAGCTTAAATAACTCACAACATATAAGCTTAAAACAAGCTATTTTTTCAAAATAGCTGGTTGCTTTTTTTGGAACTTCAACACCTTGCAATTCAGTCTCCCATTTTGTAAAGAAGTTCTTAAGATGGTTTCCTGCATTCTCAGTCTGGCTGAAGATCTCCTTCTCCTCAAATAAAATTGCAGTCTCTGAAAAGAAAGATCATCTGCTGTCCATAAATTGCCCAATGGAAACTCAATGGCATTTTTAGCTATAAAGCTAAAAATCAAAAAGCAAATCGATTAACTACACATCAATAGCTTCCATCTGCTATTCTGCAACTGCATTAGCAATTTGTGGTAGTCCTAACAAAGATATAATTTTGCCAATTGCAATCCATTTTACATGAGCAACCACAGAGCAGAGGGAATTCAATAGCTTCTTCCCCAACATATTCACGGTGTTGGAAATGGTCACTGAAATGAAAGTTATGCCCCTCAAAGGAATAATCAACTGAGTGAGTTCAAAGGTCTCTTTAGTGCTGTGACACTGTATGATTGCTGATTGCTAATTTATTGTTGGGATGTATGATTGTTATGATTGAATATTGTTTCTTTGTATCACCAGCAGACTGTATCAAGTTGAAAAAGCAATGTTATAATAAGCCACAAGATCTGGAGGGGGAGACTTTTCAAACTTATATATATTCAAGTTTGCTAGAGACA